CACCTCTAGATATTTCTTTGATTGAAATGGAGTTGCAGAGGGTGACGCGTGGTTCTCACACGTCCCCGATGTTGAGCCTCGGAATAGGACCAACAAAACATGTAAGCTGCAAATTTTGTCTCTGCCTTAACGAGAAAATAAATTTTCTCAGTTAAGCTTCGCTTCGAAAGTAAAGAATAGTTTTTTTATTTGAGATCACTTCAGGTTGATGAATTTAATATTAACCAGGGTTAGTTAGATTACTCACTTCGGGTTCCCACAAGTTCCTGGCATAAGAGAGCATCTTTCAGAAGACCCCACGATCAAAATGTGATAAGTAACCACGATTTATCGGAACGACCCGAGCACCTACGCTTCCGTCGTCAGTAAGTCACACATTTATTCAAACATTCAAAGTTCGAGTTCAGTGGCATTTTCGCTCTGAAGTTCAAAAGCTGCTGCGTCGCGGATGCCGTGCACGCAACGCTACTTGCAAAATCACTTTAGCCGCGCCCCCTCCCTTCCAAGCTATTCAGACATGTCTTACACCACATTACTGCAAAATGAGATCACATCGACCACGTGCGCTCATCACTTTTCCATTATCAATGCACCGTTTTTGAAAAAAAAAACTCAGACGTTGCAGATTCCTTTTTGGATGGCCATTCGGATACGTAGGAGCAGTTGGATTCAGGAGGCCGTTTGGATTCAGAAGGCCATTTGGATTTGGATGGCCACTTGGAATTCGAGATGGAGAATTCGTTAGTATCTCACCTTATGGTGGAATTGGATTCAGCAGTTTCGGTGGAATCTTCTGATTATTGAACAACTTCTTAGTTGATATTTGAGTACTGTGATGTCTCGCATGTGGTGACCAGAATTTCCAACAGCAAAGTGAATCTCCAAAGCATCACTTCACAAAACTCGAAAGGCATGGAAAATTGAAAGCCTTCAAGCCTTTATTCTTCAAGATTTCGGTACTTCGGTGAGAGCTCGCACAGACTAGCAGCACCAGCTATGTCAAGTGGATAAAGAAATCTGAACGTATAAGGGTGTCGTGACAAGACAATTGTTGATTTGCCCGCTGTGTGGTTCACGAGCGACGTTGCGCCCGCGAGTGTCGAGTGCGACGTTTCTTGGTCAGAGATGGTGACAACAGACAATGTATAACCAAAAATAGCCATAAATGTCTACGATCTTGTAGTCTACATGAAAGCCGGGGCTCTATCAGGCTAACGCAAATCGTGAAAACGCCGCGCTCATCGCCGTAGCAGCAAATTACGATCGCCTTGACCCATTCTTCCCCCAAAGCATCCCAAGGCTTTTAGTTTCGGATGACGAAACTGGTACCTGTGTGCGGCTGAGGACTTACCACCCTCCTAAGCAGTTAGGACAAAGCACACTTGATACAACTCGCCCTGATTGATATTGGCCTCCCTTCGCAGGAACAATTTTTCTTCTAAATATACGCGCTGTATCTTGCCACTACAGTTTGCAATTTCAGACCTGTCGAAGGCGTACTATGTATGTATGAACGAAATTATTGCAGTAATGAGTTTTTAAAACCTCGCTGCGTGCTTTCCCGAGATCCTTTTGAGTTGAATGTTCCAAGGTAGGTTCTGCCATTTTTATAATCTAATGCCAGAACCTGAAATTTCCGTTGCGTTCTCTGAGGTCACCTCCGTGCCCCCATTAATTTTTTTATCGCATTTCATATGTACATTGTACTGTACGCATTCTGGTTTCACCTTAATTCAATTTTGGTTCAAGTAATGTTAATTAGCGTTCGTGGCTACATTTGTATGCTAATAGGTAGTTGATGGCCAACTGATGTTCTTGTGTGTTTCACTAAATAGCAGAAATCGATGCTAAAAGTAACTGTTCCTGTGATAAATAAGGTGTTTCCAGCATCACTCCGATCTAATGATGGTGTTTAGGCCCATCTAGCGAAACCAAACTGTAATAGTCCCCTAACTTCTGAGATATAAGGTGCATTCCTTATCAGAGACGCGCGCGACAACGCGCGCGAAAAGGACATTAAGTGCTCCAAACACTTCTTATTCACTATGAATCGTTGGTCTATCCGTACATCCGGCCAGTACGTTGAAGACCAAAGGTGCAAAGGTCAAAGTAGGTCGAATGATGGAAGAAATGGTGGGTTCGGAAGGCAGGGAGGCAGTTGAATTTTTTCTCGTCTGTTAACCCGTAATTTGCCGTCTGGGCAGGCGTGGCAGGTGACAACACCGCGCCGCGAGAGACGAGCTCAATGCCTAGCCGTTTCAATTCGAAAATTAAGGGAACGGTACAACCAAGGTCTTCGGACAAATTGGACTCAAGCCCTTTCAACCTTCTGATTGGATCTTATGTTTTTTCTCTGCACTCTCTCGTCCGCATGGCACACTGCGGTTGATGTGACTTCGCATAATTCAGCTTTTCACGAATCATAAGTGGTTCACCTACCCCGGAGTCCCCCCCCCCCCTCTTGAGAAGTCCGTTTCTGGTTCGCTGCAGGCTTTCTTATGCACGCCTTCTATTTTTGGCAGCCCGCGTCCTTACCTTGCTGCTGTGCTACTTTGTTTTCGCAACTGATCACGGCACAAATCGTCAGATGTCACATAACCGTATTACCAAGGGTGCGAAGCGGTGCTCCATGTCATCAGCCGTGGGAAATGACGTAAACTCGCAAATTCCAAGGGCGTAAAAAGCATGCGAGGGATCCAGAGACGACATCAGGGTGCATCTGAGCTGTGCTATGAAGGAGACATTACAGTCTAGTTGCAACTCAAGAGGGATTTGTCGTGGCTTCGAAGTCATTCTTTACAGCAGCTATGACTACCAGCTGTGCGGATACCAATCACCTGTCGACGTTCCCGTGGCTTCGATGAGTAGTGTGGAACGATTTAATGCCAGTTGGATGAGCACTTTTGTTGCTGTCAAGCCACGATTATCACTTTCCGCATTTGCTCCTTCAGTTAGCACATGAAGACTCAAGGATGAGTTCTGGTCTTCGTTCGAGGAGAAGACATTTGCGATACCATCGGAAGACGCTTCCATTGTCGGTGGCTGCCTGAAAGGGACATAGGCGCCACAAAAGACGGCTGCAACTATTGTGGTTGTTTCGAATATGGGTCACATAAATTACGTGCTGGTTATGGGCTGTGGGCGAAGGGGGAGGCGGGCAAGAGAATCGTATTTTCCGCTGCGAGCGCGAGGCGTTTTCTTAACTCGTGTTAACCTGTCGATTGGAGCACCGGACTTCATGTAGACCCCGTCATCGTAGACATTCATGACTATTTTCGGTTCTGAATTGCCTGTTGTCGCCATCTACTACCTGGAACCATCGTCATTTGCGGGCGCGACGTCGCACGCGACGCTCACAAATGCCTATTGACTTGCAAGTAACTAAATCTCCTTCATAGCGCAGCCCAGACGCACCCTCATGTCGTCTCTGCATCGTAGACCCTTGCATGCTTTTTACGCTCTCAGGATTTGCGAGTTTACGTCATTCCCCGCGGAAGTCGTAGCATTACTTCTGAATACATATGGCATTTGTAAAGATATAATGTAAAGTAGATATTCGTAGGCCGGCTCGTCTCGAAGACGTGCCACCTGCATTCGAGTTTCCACGTTCAACCAGCTGCAGAAGCAAGTAGCTCTCATCATCAGTAGTACCGTGTAGAGGAGTGTATCACACCCAGCCTCTACAGGCATCCTACATACAGCTATAGAGAACAGGTGTGCCCCTCACGGCTGATGGAAAATGGGAAAGTCAGGGGTCCCGGTTAGACCTGTTCCATTCAAACTGGATGCCACGCTATCCTGTTTTGCATGGTGTTTTTATCTATTTGTTTTTTTAGTTCGGTAGTACCGAGAAGCCTTCCAGAGAGATCGGCCTGAGGTAAGGGTAAGCGTGGACTATGTACAACATGTGAAGAATGGTGACTAACAATACGCCATCCATGTGGTGGGTAGGCGGTTCGAGGGATGGGCGGGTCGAGAACTCAGCAGGTTCGGTTCGGAGTCCCAGGCACCAGGAGAAATCGATGAGGTGGAATGGATGGTGACGCGTGACCAAGCCGATAGTTAAAAATATCTTGAAACATTTCCCGTACGCCTCAGACTGGAGAAATTTGAGTGGGCACAAGATTGGCAAATGATAGAAGAGCGTTGGCATTCACTTAGGTAACAGGCCATTGGTCGTTATTGACCCGGCAATAAACTACCTGACGTTGTCTAGAGGGCCGTAAAATGTTAGTGGACCACACTACTGAGAGAATGTTGCAGAAATTGAAGCTGCACGCAATCATACCGCATCGTCAACACTGATTTACAAGGCTGGCATAACAACTGAAAATATAGTGTAGTTCGCTGCGGACGGTTGGGCGTGTCAGGCGGGATGAGTTTGGCGCGGCCAAACCCGTTCTCCACCAGTTGTTGAAAGCGAGCAAGTGATATGACTGTATCATATCGTTCGTATTACTCGTTTTCTACCACTTTTTGTCGCATGCGCGCTTCAACAAGAAGGCAGAGAACGTTTGACGGCATGACACACTCTGCTGCCTGACACGCCCAACCGTCCGCAGCGAACTGGAGTGTAGTTACCCAACTCATGATTGTATTGTCTTGTTCGCTGCGGATGATGTAGTGGGTCACGCGGTTGTGCTTGGCGCGCCAAATCGTTGTCTACTTTTTCGGCAAGCTCCAGCAAGACTACCTCATTTTCTTCGCGTCAGGCGTTTTCCACCAGTTGTGTCACTCACCCGCTTCAACAACAGGTGGAAAACGGGCATGGCGCCAAATGCAGCCACGCGGACACACCCCGTCATCCGCATCGAACCAGACTATGGCTTTGCTTAGAACACACGCGATCTCTGCCTTTAAACCATTTATTACTTCGCAGAACTGGTTAAATAGTTTTAGAACAATGCTTAGATGAAGCGAAGAATGTCTTGTAAGCAACGATTATCATGTTGCGAGTAATTCTAGTCTTTGCTGGTGAAGATTCTTTGAAAATTCTTCGATCATTCCTTCCCCCTAAATTTCATCCACAGGTGCTTAATCTTGGTGCCCATTGCCTGCGTAGCAGATTGCTGTGCCGGTTTCGGTTCTTCTTTCTTCTCGGCTTTTCCATTCTTCTTCGCTGGAGCAACATCACCAGATTTATTCCCATTGGTAGCGCCTTTTGCCTTCTTCTCAGCTGATTCAGCTTCTTCACTCTTCCGCTCAGCAGGAACAGCTTCTGCACATTTCCTCCCATTCTTCTCAGCAGAACCCCTCTTAGCGATCTTCGATGATGTGATCTTTTCTTGGCTTGACTTTTTTTCAGGCACTTCAACTTTTCTCTCACTGGCATCTGTGCCCTTCTTTTCCGCACCTTCGATACTTTTACCCTCTGCTTCTTTATTTTTCGTCTCGGCAGGCGGCTCTTCTGCGGCTGACCCCTCCTTCACTTTGGTGGTTTCCTTTTGGTCAACTACTGGAGCAGATGACTCTTTCTGCCCTTCATCCTTACTTGGTCCTTGCTGTACCGCAGAACTTCCTTGTTCAGCGCCCGCCTGCTCCGTCACTGCAGTATCTTTCTTCTTTAGTGAGAGGATACGTTTCAACAGTCTTCTTGCTATGGATTTTTCAAATGGATCTGCCGTAGAGCCGGCTGGAGTAGCCGGGGCGCTTTCAACTTGTGGTGGAGTCTCTGGTGCAGAAGTAGGGGTGGCGGCTTCGTCCTTAGCGACAGGAGCCGGCTTGTTACTCTTCTTGGAATAACGCTTGAGCTTCTCGAGAATATGTGACCGATCCACCTGCGTTCCTGACCCTGACGGAGCAGCTTCCGCCTCTTTTCCTGTTGAATCGCCAGATGACTGTGGTTGTGCAGCCGCTTGTTCGGGAGCTTTTGCAGGTTTTTCAGTCGACTCTGCAGACGTAACGGGGGCCTGCTTCCATGGACTACCAATTTTTATCTTTCTCTTCCGAAGACTTGAGAAGGCTGACTCTTTGGGCTCTTCCTTAGCTTTCTTGTCCTGAGCAGCAGGTTCTACCTTTTCTTTCGTTGGCTTGGTGGATGGTTCTACAGAGACAGTATCGCTTGCAGCACTTCCTTCAGCGCTTGATTCAGCGCTGCCAACGTCAGACTTGGCTATCATGGCAGACAGCTTCTTTTTCTTTGGCCGAAAACGAAATCGTTGCACAAGGCTTGTCGTTAGAGACTTTCTCAATTCGTCCACATATGACGCTTTCTCATGACCTGGTTGAGCAGCTTTTTGCCTTATACTGCGAACTGACCTCATTTCTTCTCCTTCATGTGGTTGAACTGGTTGAACTGCAATTGGTTCACTTCGTTTCGGCAACACTTTCGGCATTTCCTTCACCCACTCCAGGGTGAACGGAGCTCTGAAAACATAATTGTTACTGTACACCCAGCTCCACGTGTTCTGGTCCTTGCTATGTGCGAGATGAATGGGTCCGCAGCTGCAGATATCGTGCTACGATCACGCTCAAATGTGCACGGGAACGTTGTGGAGAGTAGCTGCACCCGGGTTCTGTTTACCGACTCCGCCCACACGGCGAGTCACTCGCATTGACCTAGCAAAACGCTCCACTTGTCTGCGGCTTCTCACTTTTGGTTGTTCTCTACCTATGACTGCGTGCTCACTAGCGGATTTCGCGATAGGGCTGCATGCTTGAGGATAGTGCGCGCGCGAGTTCTAAGCACTCCAGCACTCGGTATGCTAACAGCTTGCAGTCTGTTCCGCAGTGGACCGATTTATGAGTGCCATGTGGACAGAAGTTTCCTTGACAACAGCGGCGCCTGCCGCGCCTATTGCTTAAAGCGAGGCCAAGGTGAACGGGCGTTGCCGCTGGCAGAGGTAGGTGGGGGGGGGGGTTCAAGAGGTGTAAGCGCAGGGCTGATAAAGGACGGGGTTGTTTGGTCCAATTGAAGTGAGCGCTATCTGTTGAAGGCTCCAGCATTTTTTTAGTGACGCAATCCGGTGCTTCCGCTTCTCGCAACAAGAGGTCTCCTCAGACGAAGCTTTTCAGTAAACGATCAACTAGGAAATGAAGAAAACACACCCATGTGTTGATTACAACCTAAGCCATCACTTCACATACCGTATGAATTGTTCGATGACGGCTCCCACTGCCTTTTTTGTGAAGTCGTCTACGCCAGCATCCGTGCTTCGATCGGCCGGCGCCATCAGTTCGTTTTTCTATTTCGCATATTTTTCCGCTGCATGCACGTGTAGTGCCTCCGGGCCTGAGCGAATTATAAACCAGGCTGACCTAGAGAGGCGGCCTTTGACTCACAGCAGAATCGCAGGTGGTCGTTTCAAATTAAGTGCCGCCCAAAGAGCTGAAACAATGGCTACAGTTCGCTGGTTGTAAGTCAGCATTCCCTTGACGTCAAAGGCCGCATGCGACGGAGAGAGCAGCAGCGAAAGGTAAGGATGTATTGAGGACTGGAATGTACAATGACTGCAATCATTTTATGGGCGACGCGGTTTGAGTGGGGCGTTTCAATACTTGTATAACTAGTTTGAGTGTGCGACTGTGCCTTCGAGCGTCGCTTCGAGGGTGCCAGCCGCTGGCGGCAAAGCGCTCGAAGCCAGCCAGTTCGCAGGCACATCAATAACTAGTGATCCACACGCTTGAGCGTAAAGCAATAATACCGCTCGGCAGTTCTGCTCAAAAGACCCGCAGTACACTTGGCGGCCAGCCTCGGCGAAGTTGAACTTACCCTCTCAGTTGACGAATTCTCCCCTGCATCCTGATGAGCCTTCTCAACCAGCTAGTAGTCAGCTTTAGGCTGTTCATTGTGTTGATCATCTTTGCAGCTTCTACTATTTGTGGAGAGCAAGCCGTAAGAGACTCAGACAAATCTGTAAAGTAGAGCGATGTATAAATTTTTTACAATATAATCATAACGGCGAGCGTAGTATTCTGGCAGGAATATTCGCGAATGTTTGGCAATGAAAGCGCTGCCGTGCATTTATGTGCTGCTGAGGATGGGCTAGGACGCGTCAACTGTGTGCAGCGTATAGTCTGTCGTCTGCTCCATTTCTTAGAGAGTGTGACGTGTTTTCACACGCCTTAGGCCGCGTTCATACGTTGCGGCAGCAACCGCCTGCGTCCACCAGCAACCCTCACGCCTATGTCGAGGACTAGGTAAAATATGGATAGCGATCCAACTTCCTGCAGCGTGGGGAAGGCTAGGGGGGGCCTGTGGTTGGGGGAGAAAGCCTGGATTAGGCCGCAGGGCGGCACATCATTGGTGAAGGGATATGATTTAGTCGAGTTCAGCGACGACCGCTCCCGCCTTCTTTTTTTAGGGGGGGGGGTTGGTACGACCGCGCGCGGCCCCCTCCGGCTCATGCGTCGCCTCGCTCACAATCGAATCGAGCCGTCGAGCGGGCGAGGGGGGGGGGAGGCACATGTGATAACAGGAACAAACGGCGCGAGAGGCAATATAAGATCCCCGCTTAGCCGCCAACGCGATTCTTACGATTTTCTCTAACAGCTTCCTGCCACTTTTTCCGAATTTCCTGCGAAAACTTCGTCTGGCACTCTTTTGCTCGGAATTTGAGCGCAGAAAGGCAGTAGATCCTCCCAGCAGCTCCGCGCATACAAGTGAGGCTAAGTACGCCGGGCCGCCTCCGCTTTTGGCAACATCTGTGAAGGAGAAAAATACAACTAATGCAAGAATAAAATTTTCTCTGGCAAAATACAAGCCCCCCCCGCCCCCTTTCTCCTTGGCGGCCAAATACGACTCGCTGCTGAGGATTCCGCCAACAAAGATGTGCCCTCTTAAGGGGTCGTGGAAATGTAGGCGTGTGCAACGCTAACAGGCGCGCATATACTGACAAAATACGTACTGTTTGACGCGCTGGTGGACGGCTGATAGCTGCAGGATCGATATCGTCATAGCTTGTCTAGGCCGCTTTGACAAGGCTATACAGTGGCGCGAACCGCCCAGACGGCTTGTGGGCGCTGGCTTTCGCTGGGTCGACATCTATACTTTCGTGGTCGCTGACGGACGCTCGAAAGTCGCTGGTAGTCGCTGGCGGAGGCTGGACGCTGGCCAGCAATGTATGAACGCGAGCTTTAAAGGGGCAGGCCAATGCTGCTCAAGCTGCCCTCTCGGTGCACTCTGATACATGACGTGGACTTGCCGCTTCAAACACTGCTGTGGGTTGGTCCCACCAGAAAATCCCTCTTCCACTCGCCTTCCCAGGGCACAGAATAACGTCGGTTGTCAAACTCACTATTCCAAAATTTTGTTTTAGCTTCTTGAATTTCGACCTCGTTGTGACTCTGCTTCCACGTCAAGAGCTGCGGATAAGCTGATAACAGAAATATGTTGCGTCTGGAAGCTTCCTGGCGCTACACAAAAGCTACTTACATGTCTGAAATGTGTAGAGACATGTTCCAGATGCGCATCTTCGGGCTTAGGCTGGCTACTCGTTGATGGCGCGTCATATCGCCATGTACGAGAAAGGGTGGTTGGGTGGTGGTGGGTGTTGTGGGGGGGGGGGGGGGTGGGGGGTGGCGCGTGTATGGCGTCCGGAGCAGCTGCGTAACCTACAATACTGTGCTCCAATAGGATAATGGCTTGGTTTGTGAGCTAGTCTCAGCTCGTATGTCCTGCCGCATTTTTGCACCGTCGACGTTGCAAACCAAAATCGATCAGATAAAGTCGGACGGCTGACGCTGCGAGGCCGATACAAAAATTGGTGGGTTTTATATCTCGATGAACGTAATTCAGAGCGTGAAGTTCCTGGCTGACGCTAACAAGCATGAATAAAGACATAAGCCGTGATGATCTTTTCTATGTAGGCCAGCCCTATGTGATGCAATTCCATTATTTATTTGATTTTTGTTTTTTTTTTATTTCGTTATTTTTTTTTATTGTTTTAGTTATTTTTTTTTTTTTTTTGTTTCTAGTTGAACTGGGAGGGGGTGGAGCATGTAACAAGGACTGGCTCGCAGCTAATGAACGAATGAATGGACGCGCAAGCAATCTTTATAGAATCAGCCCTAACCATAAGCATGTGCAATTGCGGAGTTTGTCCTCAAGGGATTCTTCCCAGCGCAAGGCGTGAGGCAAGTCATGCTTTCCCCTTAGTAAGTTCCGGGAGTTTCACCGACAATCTCCCTCGCTGAGAGAAGGTGTTTGAGAACGTCCCTGAAAGGAGCGAGAAAGCATTTCCCAACCTCTATCGCTGAGAGTGCTTCTGCTGCTAAGTGGTAGACAGACGTGTGCCGTATACAACCTCTTAGATTTTCTCTGAGTTTTTCCAGATTTCTGTCAAGTAGGGTCATCACTGAAAATGCTTTCCCTTATTAAAGTAGAACTATACATGATTATGAGAAATCTTTCTCACCAATGTACGATCTATCACATACTCTACCACTATCGACAAGTCGAGGACAGCGCACGGCGTTAGCGGCCTTCAGCTCCTTCAAAATTGCTAGTTCTCTCTGTAATTAAACGCTTCACTCCCACAGGCGCGATCGCTGCCGCTTTGGTTGCGTTCATACTTTGCGGAACCGTCCACCAGCGATCATTGGCGTTTCGAGCGTCGGTCAGCCACAGCGACTAGAAAAGTATGGATATCGATCTAATGTTGACAGCCTGCCAGCGTCCTTCAGCGTTTCGAGGGGTAGGGGGTAAAGGTATTGATCTAGCGTCTAGCAGCGTCCACCAGCGACCAGGAGTACGGTAGTAGTAGTATGGTGCGGTGCACGAGTCATAATGTACGCCTAATCCAGCTGTCTCCTCCTACTTCCCCATACTCTCTACTGCCAGTCGCTGGTGGACACTAGTAGACACTTGATCAATATTCATACCTTTCCAATCCCTCAAGACGCTGATTGTCGCTTGCGGACGCTGGTAGACGCTAGCAGGCATCAGATCGATATCTGAGCTCTCTCATTATCTGACGCTGCCCTCGAAGCGCTAGTGGACACTGCCGCAAGTGTGAACGCGATATCTGAACCTAAGAGATATATGACAGGTCAGGATAAAGGCTTTTTTCAAATAGAGGGGATTCTGGGATAGGCGAGCCACTTATCATTTGTGAAAAGCTGGAGCGTGTGGGGTCACAATGACGCTAGAATGTTATACGGAGGAGAGAGAGCAGAAAAAAACAGACAATTGACGCAGCCTAAGAGATCAAGCCCCAGTAGCCCCTAGACCCGTGATATGTGGGACCAGTACATTCTCTGAAGGCGGGATTCTCCAGCGCAAGGCTTCTGCTCGTTGAGTGGGCTCTTTTCGATAGATTGCCAGAGATGAGAGAAGTAGGAAAGCGCACCCTCGTCGTCCCAAACCTTGCACAAAATGCGGGGAACAGGCGTACTTATTCTACCCCCAAGCCACCTCTGCCTCTAGCCACATACCTTGAATCGAAGTCGGGTGCTCGGACTGTCCTTTCGAAGTCCGGTTTTCATGGCGTATAGTGTATTGTCGAGGGCTTCTTCGTTGCTGAAGAAAGTGTCAGAATCCACTTCTGCTCCAGGAGAAAAATAAGGTGATCTTACTCGGTGCAAGTTTGTTTAGCCACTATATAAACAGCAGAATAGCGACCTTCATTATATTTCATCAGTACTTCATATCGTGAATATTCACGAGATTCTTCGTCAAGACTAAATGGAAAAGTTCTATTATGGATATTGTCGCAATCAATCGGGGCGGTAACAAGAATGGCGGAATTAGCCCGCCTCCTGCTACCTTTTCTACCAATAGTATCGGTTAGTGACCAGTGATAAAACGCCGCGAGTGGGCTCATCCCTCTTGACCCCGCCCACCGATGACATCAGCTGTACATGTCAGTAGGATCCCAACGGAACTGAAGTGTTCATAAGAGGGGGGAGACGATTCCAAACCCAGGGGAGTTCATCCATCGTTTCTATTACGCAACGCATATCCCGCCAGCACATTCAACACTGGCATGAGCGGAATCAGGCGTACTTGCGCGCCCTCTTCACTGGTGTACTATTCCCTGTGAAGTACGGCTGCGTTCACACTTGCTGTTAGCGGACACCATGACACAACCCGCCAGCTACTCGGTTCGTAGCAGTCAGTATCGGGAACCAGAGTAATAGTATGGAGTAGCTGAGAGGGGTAGAGCCGTTTTTGCTGTGAAGTGGGAAAGTGGGGGAGACCTGCTTAGGCTTCAGCGAAGATCTGGCGTTGCAACATGACAGCACTAATATACTACCCGTACTCCGACGCTGGGGACGCTTGTTGCGTCTAGCTGGACCTCATCAGATTATCTATTACCTTTGCCTAGTTCGTCCGAATACTGGCATCGTCACCTGAGCGGAGCCCAGTGCCGCTAGGTGAGTGACGCTTACAGTAGACTTGGGATCGACTATTTCTAACTTTCTTATCCCTCGAGAAGCTGATTATGCCTGCTGGGTGACGCTAGGGGGCTGCCGTTGAAGCTATTCCGGCAAGTATGGACCGCAACCTTATATGCCGCGCAAAATACCAGCGAGAACTTCGCTTTTACAAGCGGTGTAACATTAACGCACTTATCATCTACAATTACAAGATCGCCAGCTTGAAGTTCTTCTGTTCCTCTCATGAAGTTATCGAGTAAATCAATTTCATGACCCTGAACAGGAAATCATGGAACTTGACGACGTATCTGCCTGTGACACATGCTCTCTGAACAAGTGAATTATGACTCGCCCACCTCAAAAGTCCCTTTGCCTGATGGTGGGACCAAATCGGGTCTTATGTCTTCGAATAGTTTTACCTTGAACCATGGTGGTTGTTCTGGACCCTTCAGAAGTGCACCGAGCAGCGGCTTAAAGTATTCATTTTTCACTGATATGAACTCCACAAAGTTGGCAAGTAGGGGTAAACTTGACCAGTTCTCACGCACTTTCATAAATGTGGTTGGTAGTGTTCAGAGAATTTGCCAACGGCAAGAAACATCAATGTTTGTGCACAGGGGATCTAGTCAGCACCTACTGTTTCCAACTAATTTAGCACGCACGGCAATTCCTAACCACTGACACATAACTCCTGCCCAATTTTCGACACTTCTGTGCAGTTAGTTTTTCTTCCTCATCATGCACAAGAGTGATCAGCAGTGTAGCCTTATGCCTTCACTCTGATATAGTATAGTGCAAGGTATTTTAGTGTCTTGTAATGTATGTAAGAAAAATTTTGAGCCACGACTCCGATCCCTGCATCTGAGCCACGACTTCGATCCGTGCCGAGTCGCAACCATATCCACTCTTATAAAATCTGCAAGAAGGTTGACGATACCAGCTACAGCCCGGGTT